AAATAGCAACAGGATATTAACCTTAATGTCCACTGTGAAAGATATAGGCACTGGTGTCACACTGATGGAGCTGCAAATACAGATTCATGAAGGCTTGGCAGTAAGCAATAGTGCTGATATACAGGCTGAAGTTGCAATCCTATCTGCACTTACATGGGAGTAGGTCACTTTAAATTTACTTACCTCTTGACTATTAGAGACCTATATCTGAATGCTTGGACACTTACCTGAAAACCAATTTTAAGGATATAAGATACCAGGTGAAATGTATTCAATTTATTTTTCCAAGTTGGACACCTTTCAGCAAATCCTACAAATAAGTCATCATGCCACGTGTGTTCTTCCTGGTTTCTAAAATGTATAATGTGATGTGCATCTCCTGTGCTCAAATGGGCTCTTAAAGATAGCATGAGATCATAGAGATGAATCTGTATTGGGGTGGGCAACTATAAACCCTTAGATGTTGTTGGATCTGACTTGGGCAGCACAGCTTGTGAAGAATGCTGGGAGCTACGATTCAATACAGTATGTGGAGGCCAAATGTTATGCTACATGTGGCTATCATGTCCCATTAATTTCCTTGAGTTGCATCTGATTGCAGAGCCAGAGGCTGGGAGTTTAATTCTCCACTGTGTATCCCAGAAAAGCCAGCCTATGTGGCCTTGGGCAAGCTGCACAGTCCCATGTTGCCCTCATTTCTGACTACTTTCTACCTAGAAAACTCTGCAAAAGGTCACCATAAGTCAGAACTGACTTAAAGAATTGACCCACTCATGCACACTGTAGTGACTTTACATTGGATTTGGTCCTATTCATCAAGAGTTCTGTTCATTAAGAGACTGGGATACTGTTTGGAAAAATCAAACACTGGATGTGAAAGACAATTTTCTGTTATCAATTTGAAACATTTCAACATATCAGTACTTAATCATAAACTATCTTGAGTTGGCACTTGAATTTATAAGTTTCATTACAATGGAACCCCTGTATCAGAGTATTTGGTTTCCGTGGTTTGAGTTATGTGCAGTTTGCCCTGAATTATTCATTCTGTTCATTACAATGCCACATATTCAGCTCCTAGTTAAGAGAACTAATTCAGTATTTGCCACCACTGTGTGTCCTCTTGTTCCTGCTGCTTCTACTGCTTGCAGTGCCTCTGCTTGCCCCCTACTTTCTAATGAGTTCCTACTTTGTCAACCTGCTCTATTCCCAAGTATAAGGTGGCAGTGGCTGGAGGAGGCGAGCCACCCATCAATCCCATTGTGACTGTCACATTTCACCTGTTGCTGCTGCCCTTCTCTATGGAAACAGGGCTATGTAATATATGTAGGGCTTGCTACTATCCAATTTTTGGGGCATCCACAGTAGTCTTGGAACATATCATCCATGGACACAGGGGACTTTTGTATGTTACTGATTAATGGTAAACTGTAGGCCATCCTTATTTGAAATTCTGATAGCTGAATATTAGGTTCAATGCATATGTTACAGGTAGCATATCAGTAAAAGAAAAAATTCAAGTGCTGAAAGATGTGCGATTATCACAGTAGAAGCTTTTAATGTTTCCCAAAGTTTGCAAATTAGTGGTTTGGATTTCTGGCTGGTTTTCTGCACCTCAGCCTGGTCTTTGCTTGCAAGTATGACTGCTCACAGAGATCTGCCTGCATAACATCTCTGAAACAATAGATTTCACCTTCTAACGAGAGGCTAATAATATATGGCTCTTAATAACCCGCCTCACAAACGAACACAGTATGATCACACACAGGTCCACAAAGAAATTCCACTGAGATCAGTTTGATTTACTTCCAGCTTTGTGAAGCCCAATCTGAAATCCTATTTACTTTTAGCTGGACGGCAGCACGTCTATGATGCTCTTATAATTGTTGATCATAAAAGGAAAAATAATCTGCACACACTTTTTCAGTGGCAAACAAGATGACTACACAATATTTACTGGTAAGATGGCTTGTTCTTTTATCATATTGCATATGAACAATAATTTTTCCACACAGAGTTTTTCAGGTCAACAAAGTGCCTTCTGAAAGGACCTGACCACTATATGATTTTTTAAAATCATAATTAATTCTATAAAGGTATGTCTTAATGACAACATTCAGTTTGGATTCTAACTCTAATGTGTGTTGCATTTTTAACTTCTTTGGATAATATTTTAATTTTATCTATCTCTGATTTCTTCGAAAATACAATAAATATATCATATAGTACTACAAAACAATAAGGGTATGAACTGGAATCTTAAGTGAAAATGTATTTGACTTTTACTACATGATTTCATAAGCATGTTCTTGAATACATTTCCTTTTAAGAAACAGAACTTAGCTTTTCCTACATGATATATTCATCTCACAATGATACTATATTGATGCTTATATCATTATTTCACTTTAAACATGTAGGAGTCAATGAAGTAATTTGGAAGCATCTGTGTCTTTGAAATTGCACCACTGAGAAATGTTCCTATTATAACTTTAAAACGTAAAGGAAAATCCCAAAATTAGCTACAACAGAAACCAGACTAACAACCAGACAAACCAGCCTTAGTCCTACGCATCACATTCAAGAGGGCATTCAATAAACTGATCATCATTACATTCAAGAAGTTTCCTAATAGCCCACCTTACTGCAGAGACAAAGGGCTGCACAGGCTCACTGGAGCAAGCTGGAGTGGACTAAATAAAGTTTCTAGAGGCTGAGTTGAGGTATGTCATCTAGTGTAATCCTCACATCCAAAAGGCATATGCAGCTCAAATGACCATATTTGGTCTGGCTCCTTTGTAGTGGCTTAAGAAGAGAACCACTTCATATAATGGAGGAACAGAGGAAGTAAAAAAATAATAATAATTACACTGTAATTTTGGGAGAAAGTTTTTAATTTTTAATTGTCTTTTTTCTTTTTAGTAGGTTGTGCAGCATCTCAGTGATGCCCTAATACACTGTAATTTTTTAAAACTCCCTCTGCCACTTCATGGAGCAGAGGAAGTGTTTAATTTCTGGATATCATGAAGTGGCTCTCTTCTTAAGCTACTTTACAATTTGGAAAATTTAAAGAGGAAAGCAGCGGAAGGCTTACACAATGAACCAAAATGGAGCAATCATGCCCATAACCCCCCCCGCCCCCGCAAGCCCCTGACAGAGACTCAGAAATATGTGGATAGAAATGCTTTGGACGTATGCTGGCTTGCTCTAGAAAAAGACCTTGTCTGATTGCCAGCTTTAGAAGTAAACCAGCCCATCACCACAGCAGACTAAACAGCAGGCTAAATGCCCATGTAGTTACCTTCAAACTATTTTCCTCCAAAAAGCTAGATGTCCTCACAGATCACCTGCCTGATCCTGTTTAGGATACATAACTTTTCATTAGTTACTGAACATGAGAAATTGATGTGTGACAAGCCTGTTACATGGCAACATGCTCATCTTAGAGTGGTAGAATATACCAGATGGGCGGGATATAAATCAAACAAACAAATAAACAAATAAACAAATAAACAAATAAACAAATAAATAAATAAATAAAATCTTCAGTGGGCACATGGCAATCAAATATAAACACAGATGAGGGAAGAATACTGGCTTATTAAATCAGACAAACTTCCATCTATCTCACTATCTAATCCCAAAAGATTCTCTGTGCACTATGCTGTTTTCAAGAGTATCCACCTAGATGTCTCTAGAAAAGCCAGATACGAAGGAGATGTCCATCTCTTGTTTGAGTATCCAAGGTGGTGAAAAATGGATTTTATTTTTTAATATCCTATTCCAGCTGCCATGAATCAATTTTATTTTCAGAGCAATCCACATACCCTCTACAAGTCCATTATGGAGCAGGTAATGTTTCATATGTCTTGCTTTACATCTTTTTCTTCTCATTGTAGAGCAAACTTCTCCAGCCTAATGTCCTCCAGATATGCTGGACTAGAACCTTCATTATGCTCATTGGCTGTGCTGGTTGGGAATGATGGGAGATGTAGTCCCACCTGTTTGGAGGGTATTAGGTGGGAAAAGTTGCAACAGAGTGACTTCAGAAAACAGAGGAAAACATCTTTATACGGTAAGCAACTGTTTCAGCACAACTGTAAATACATTGGATTCAACAAAATTTTTATTATTTTTAACACAAGTGTATAGATTAGAAGGTTTGAAACATTATAAGGCATTATACATAATAAATAACATGCACATGAGAGTCATGTTATCAACCTTATATAACACTGGCTAGTATTCAAAATTAATCCAGTGATATTGGATAAAGTCCATAAAAATGCTATCCTGTCTTCCCTTGTATGAAATTGTTCAAGTATAAAAAGATTCCAATACAGTGTAAAATATTAAATTCTTTTGCAGGTCAAGAATAAAAATTGCAAGTTATTGTAGTTTCACAGGACAATATGAAGCAGCAATTCCTAGCAAAGGAATAATAGTTGATTTATACAGAGATGAAAGTGAAAAACATTTGATTTCTTTTGTAGGAGAAAATACTGACAACTCTCCCTAAACACATTATTTCAATAATTTTATTGGATTTTATTTCCACATATTGGTCGGAATCCTATCAGTAATTTGTGCTTGTATAAATGAAATTGCTTAAACTGCAGTGGCAAATATGACACTAGTTAATCAGGTGCTGGTTGTATTTCTGGGCATGTGCCCAATCATGCGGTTGTATTTAGGATTAGGACTTGCTGGGACTAAATCCAATCAGGAGCAGTAGGATTTGGGCCTAATTATGTATTAGTATTATAGCACAGGAGCTGTTTCTGTGCATTTCAGGCTACTGCAACACCAGTATTTTCTCTGTAAATAGGAATACTTGGATTGGACAAATCACATGGTCATTTCCCACATCATGTATCTTATTCATATGGTTCCTCTCTGCAAACATTTTTGTCCAGTGCCCGACCAGACCACACAGAAGAGGTTCCTATTACAAAACAAGAATGCATTAATCAGGCCTTACCACTTAGCAAGTTGTTGACTGTTATGGCCCAATCTTCTCCTAATTCCATTTCTAAAGAAGCAAATTTCACTAAAAAGGAATATAGGTTTCTTTCAAGAAAATAGGTTTTGGTCAAGGCAATAGAGGGAAAATAATGAAACTAGCATTTTAAAGATCAAAACAAGTTTAAAACCTATTTTTAAAAGTACCCTTGCAGAAAGGTATACTGAATTTAAATAAACCCATGTCAGCATCTTTAGTTGGTTAGGTTAATATTTCACATACTACTACTACATCTTCTAAATAACTTATACCATGAGATGAATACATAATTTTACAGTTTCACATCTGAAGTTGTTTTCTTTAAAGCGCAGCATAGAACAACTTTCAAAATAAATATATCTTTAAATAGCATTACAATTAAGGCACAATATAACCCACATATCATTAACCCTTGAAGAACTGCAATCTCAACAATCCTGAAAAAGACTTGTTTCGCAAATCTCATGAAAAAAACCTATTTTGCAAATAAATATTTTAAATAGGTATTAAATTGTATACAAATCATTTGATTAAAAAATTCCCTTAGCACAGTTCTTAAAGGTTTAAATTCAGCAAATTTCTTCCTGCCTTTATTCGCAAGCCATGAATAGATACAATAAATAAAAAGAGAAGGCTGTTGTAGTAAAAAGCTGATCCTATTTCAGAATCAGAATAGCTGACACCAGCAGTCAAAGTTTCCTAAAAGTGAAACAGGATGGGGAGAGGGATTAGAATGTGACAAGCTCATCAAACGAGCACAAGTGATGTGTTCTTTCCAGAACGGACTGTGTTATTGATTGTCTGTACAGCTGTTGCACCCGTTAATTCCACACCACTTGCTCCATAGTCCCATTCATACAGAGGACAGATGAGAAAATAACTTTGGTGCCTGCCCACCCTTCCCCCCCACCCCAAAAGGCCACGTTCCTTAGCTTGTTTGATGCCCTTTATGACATTGTCAGAAAACATGTTCTTACTAGTTTAAACAAAGTTCTACAAGCCATCAAGAAATGTAGTTAAATGATAGTCAGTGCTTTCAATATTTAAATAACAGTAATCTTCAACTTGATACAGGCTACATATTGCTCACCTGGACTCTTTTCCCTGATATTGTAAAATGCATCCTGTTTTATGTGTGTCTGTTGTGTGTTTGAGATATAAGCTTCTTTTGTTACTTCTTTCCTCCTTTCACAACAGGAGAATACATGGATTGATACTAGAAACTCTTAAAAATACCCACCCCAACATAGCATCCGTGGATGCATACTGTATGAAAACAGTGGCATTTGTTTTTCTTATAATACTATATTGTATTGCAGCTTTCCTTAAAGCTAGATTAGTTAAGGTTAATTGCCTTTTAAAAACTATTTCTATTGGAAGGCTGGAAGGTAAAATTCTAGAAAGAATAAGACTTTCTTCATAGGTCCATCTGCTATTGCATACGATCTGTTTGGAGCTGTTGTGGTTGGTACTGGCCAAAAGCAGCAGCAGCTGCTGCAGCTGTCCCAGGCGCGGCTGCAGTGAGTGGTTGCTGGACTGCATAGCCATAACCCCCAGCAGTGACATATCCTGCAGCAGCTGGGGATGCTGCATAGGGATACTGGTCATAGGCTGCAGCAGCAGCAGCGGCAGCAGCAGCTGAATACTGAGCATATGCAGCTCCAGTGTAGTCAAGGTAGGGTGTGGTGGAGGCAGCAGCTGCTGTAGGCTGGACATGTGGAATAACTACTCCTGGCTGTACAAAAGCCTGTGGATAGACATAATGAGCAGGAATCCTGTTGAAAAACAGAAGACAATGTTAGAGCTCAAAAGTGAAACCAACTTCCACATTCAGAACTAAAAAAACAAAACAAAAACAAAACAAACTCAAATTTAGTTGTTGTTATGTGCATAGGGTTGCCACAATATCTCATTTCAATGGCCAGACTGATTATCTTAGAAGCCGAAAGGGAAAGACATTATCAAAAAAACAAAAATTGGAAATTATAGTGTCAGTGTTAGTGCTGATTTCATAGCTCTCATTGTACACACTGTAAGAGCACACTACCAGTCATTAAAATGCTTAGGGGAGTGTAGAGATGTGTAGTATAAATATTAAAAGAATGAATAAATAGGTTTCCTAACTTTAAGACTAATGGATATAAAATTTCAGGTCACATAAAAGTGAGTGATTTTTCCCTAATACTTGTTCATGTATTGAGGATTTAAAAGATTCTTAACTCCAGAGAACACTATTGCAGCTTTTGCAACTTCATAACAAGTGTCACTTGACAAAGCAATAGGACTTCTGTGTCTGTTTGACCACATGAAAGAAATGCAATGATCTAAGGTAATAAAAGTTTAGTATCGTGGCAACCCTACTTGAATTGCTATGCAGACTCAGCACACATTAATTCCTCTGCAACCTCAGTCACCCTTATTAAAAAAAATAAGAAAACACAGGCGACAAAGGAGTTTAAATAGAAGTTCACAAGTGTGGTAAACACAGCAAGAATCACACTTTTCAAACGAACTATAGTGCAATTCACTCCGTCACAAAAGGCCATTGAGGGGAAGTTGCATAGATGCCATTAAAATACAAAACAGTGATCCCTAGGTAGATGTGCATCACACTTCTGAAGAGGTTATAAGGCCACAAAACTCAAACCTGTTGTGACATATCTGGCCACTGGTGTCCTGCTTTTGTGCCAGCGTGTTTATTGCTATATAAGACATAGCTTTGGAAGGGGTAGGGAGAGCAAGGGCAGGATTATGTTCAGATAGATCTAGTGTTTAACAAAAGCAGAAAAAAAATTTGAGGAACAACCCTACTACATTAAAATACAGATGTCAATAGCCTCCACATCACGTAATGGTACTTTCTTTAGATGCTCAGTAGCAGAAGCAGGCAGATATTTGGTATTTGTAGCAATGCTGTCACATCACAAAATCTATCATTTGTAGATGCCTGTAATGTATATGTGTCAAATCCACTGTCTTACTGGTGCTTATGAATAACTCTTCATAAAACTATTATTATTGCAGATGAAGGATTCATGCTCAGAAATCAGAATTTGCCTAATGGCAATGAATTAAGTATATTATGGGTTTGAAATGAGGATCACTTAATTCATACTCTTAAACTACAGTACAGCGTATATCAGCTCTCAGTTTCCTGCCTGTCACAGAATGTCCACAGAGATTCATTCCTCATACTGTACCATACATAACTCAAAATGTATTATTTCTACTGACTTTAACAGTACTATTGTCAAAGTTTGGGCCTGCAACTGAACTGAAGATATATACAGAAAAGAAAAGTGCTTGCAAAAATGAAATGCAGCTCTAATGAAAATCCACGCACGCACACGCACACGCACACGCACACACATACATGCACACACACACGCACACACAAACAAAATTCCGGATGTAGAACAAAAGCTTTCAAATTTTCATGCAATTTCAAGTTTCCCTTTCCACTTCACTCCACCTGCCCACCCTTCATAAATACAGCTAAGATAAAGAAAAATGTATTTAAATAAAAATGACTTTCAATTCATTTAACTTGGTGAGCAAGAAAATATTTTCAATTCAATGTCAATTCTGAAAAATATTTTTCTCCAGGACATTAAACACGTATATGTGTTTGTTTAGCAACTAATCACTCCCCCTTCAATGACTGCAAGTCAAGCATGTGAACATTAAGGAACTAACTAAGAAAAATATTTACATCATCAGTCTCCCACTGTCCAGAATGGGAGAACTGCAAGTGTTAAGAGAATACATGGAAAAAGAAGTAGGGACACAGCAATTACTAAATAGTAAGCTTATTTAGTAACCAATGCCTTTACAGATATATATATTTTAAAAAGATTGGTAATGAGTCATGTTACCTCTAGAGACCTATCTCTGTTATAAAGTCTGCATCAGTAATAGTGCTCCGGCTTTTGTTACAATGCTTTCAAGCTACACAAAGAGTTCTTAGCTCAACTGATTATGGCATTCATTTTAAAAACAGATAATTCCCGAGGTTGGTTTCTGTCAAATCTAATGAGAGGGGGGGGGGGATGTCTTTACCAAGCATGTGAAGGTCAGCTTATCATTGGGAGTTGGCAGGACAGAAGAAAAACCAACAACACATCATTCTCCACTTCCCTGTGCCAACAGAAACACTATCACAGATTTTAAGGCTTGTATCCTTCTCATAAAAAAACTAGGATACATAAATGAATGTAAGCTCTTGTGATTTGCTTCTTTTGAGCCAAGAGGCTAACAGGTGGGGAATTATGAAACTTTATCTCTTTAGAACCTCTTAGTCTACAATATGCATGAACTCTTTACAGGCGCCCTACTATTACGCCATTTCGCACATGGTGATTGACAAGGCAAGCTGCAGTGGGTCTATTTTTGATCATCTGTCATTTGACAAGGGCTTCCAGCTGAGTAAAATGACTTTATATGGCCAAAGTAAACTTCCATCTGTTGCAAAGGCCAGCATGCAAAGATCGCCATGATACTGAAATGCTATCTCCTTTTATGCTCAACAAGGTCAAAAGGTTAAAGAGCAGTTTCCCATTATGCTGCTGAGGCATCTTTATTCAAAAGTTTAAGGGGTATTCTTCTGAACTTATTGTTGAATGAATGGTGGATGTTATTTGTATATTCATATGCAGCATTTTAAAAACACCTATTTTGCTCTTAAGACTATAAAATACGAAGCATGCTTACTTGGCATGCATAGGATTTCTCTGTAAACCTCAATTAATCCAAATATTTCAACATAGTTTTTTAAAAACTAAGTATGTTTTAGATCATAGATATAGTCTAATCCTATGCAAATTTACTTAGAAGTACACTAATGAATCTAAGCACACTAACTAATCTATGCAACTTTTTTTAATGTTGTGAGCCATCACAGAATTGAAAAGCTGCAATGTGTATGCTGTACATCACAGAAAACACTGTAAACAGAAAGAGAGCCTAGCATTTCTAGGCAACAAAAGCTAAATTTTAACAGTCTTGAATTTTGAAATATTGCTCGGAATGGACCCTAAATGTTAACTTCTTATTTCAAATGTACTGTTTGCATTTCTACACTATGCCATATCCCATCATAATTACAATAATAATTATCTCCAAATGGTGAAGGAAGCTTTGTGGGAGCGCAGTTGCTGCTAACCATTTGTATTATGCCCAGTGTTGTTTCCATTGATCACAAAGGAGCATAGCCAATAGAATATGAATCAGAAAATAGAAAATATATGAAGATAATTTCTGGGAAGTTAAGATGGTCATACACAAAAGTACTGTAGAACCAAAAGTACCTTTGATATTGGTTCAGGCATCACTTTAGGTATGGGTTGTTGACATATGAATTTGCTACCTCTTGCTTGCTTTCCTTCTTCTCTAATACAGTAGCAAGGAAGAGTTTGGAAGCTTTTGCTTCAAGTTTTGATTTACTATGGTTTGTTGTGCAACCCAAACCAAATTAACTGTGGTTAATCTTAGCAATAGCTTGCTTAAAAACAAGCGTCAAAACATTAATTATGGAACTCAGTTTTTTAAACCAAATTAAAATTAACCACAGTCTAACATCTGGAGAGCATACTATACTGGGGCTAATCAAATACAGAAGCAAAAGCTTCCACTCTCCTTACAGCAGTTCCTAGGAAGAAAAAGTACACAATTCCTTGCGCCTGTTACATAAAGTCAAGGTTTATTGAGAATGAATGGTAATTAGGAAAAAAAGGGTACAGACTGAAAGTCACTCATCTTGATCTCATCACTAGTGGTGTTAATAAAGACAATATTATCTTTACTACACATTACCATTTTTAGGTAGTTTAAAATTAGGTTAATTAATATATAGTTTTCCAGACCACGATAGTACCACCAAATATGTACAGAAAATGCTTTAGAAAATGCCACAGAACTCTCAGTTATGTCCTGAACTGATATTTCTAATCACTGTGGGCTTTGATTGAGGGGAAGATTTTTTAAAAAATTTCGGTGTTTCTGCAAAAAACACAAATATTTGCTGTTATACATCCAGACATAGATATTCCAAAAAACCATAATAAAAATATACAAGATAAATACATCAGCTCTGTGTGTAACGTCAATTTACTAGAAAGACAGAACAGGTGAGGAGCCAATAGTTTACTTTGTAAGCACATAAGGACCCAAGAGAGAAGCAATAGAAGGTGCAAATGTTGATGAATTTTGCAACAGATACAGTGATCCAGAGGACCACTATTTTCTCTTAAGAACTTGTGAAAAAGCATTGCAGCATTAGAGACTAGCCCCATCAACTGATTATGGTGGCTTAAAAAACAAAACAAAACTGTGTAAAGGTAGGTATAAACAAACTTTTCAAATCTAGTCACACCAGTTTACCATCTTTTATTTTAAAGTTGTTGTTAAACCACCCAGAATTATACAAACAGAAAATTCTGTTTATATTAAGATTTTGAAGGGATTGTTCAAGAAATTGTTGTTGAACTAAATATAATCAAATGGGGAGAAGAAAGTGGAAACAAAAGGAAAATTCAGAAGGCTGTAATATCTATCTGGCTAGTGAGGAAATGTTATACTGTATAAGGAAGACCCTCTCACTGTAGTTGAAATAATATATTTTTAAATAATCTTGGGCTCCTAGAAGAGCATGGCTTTGGAGGCAAAGCATAGTTGGCACTCACTTTCCTAACAATAATCATTGGTGTAATGGCGTCAGGGTTTATAAGACTGAATCCCCAGGACTTTCAGAGCAGCGAGAACTATAGTATCATCTGTC